ACTACTTGTTTATTAAGTTAAATTGTCAAATAAAAGCAAAATCTAGCCTTTTTTTTTTTTTTTTTTTAACACATACAGATTCACTCTACTCAGGAGACAGGAAAGTTCTGTCACCTCAAAGAACTCTTTAATGTAAACCCACTTTTATCACATCCTAGGCTATATTCTCTTTTTTGAAAATATCATTAATAGAGTTGTCAATATATAACCTTCGTGATTTGATTCCTTCACTCTACTAAGTATCAGTGAGATACATCCTATTGATTGTATTAGTACTCCTCATTTAAATACTGAGTGGTATTCCCCTGTGTGAGCACAACAGTTTATTAGGAACTGGATGTTATATTTTCATTTCTGTTGTTCTAATATTTTTCAGGTTTAACTTCTGTGTATGAGTGCTTTGTTTGCATGTATGTATTTGCATGACATGTGTGTGGTGCGCATGGAGGCCAGAAGGCAACATTGGATCCCTAGAGCTGGAAGTACAGACCACTGTAAGCCACGAAGTGATTGCTAAGAATTGAGCCTGGATCCTGGAAGAGCAGCCAGTATTCTTAACCACCGAGCCATCTCTCCAGCTTCCATAGCATCTTTTTTTGTCTATTTATCATATAGCTACATCTTTTGTGCAGTGTCTGTCCAAGTCCCTCCCACTTTTATATTCTGAAGCCATTTGGGTAAGTGATTTGCTAATATTTTTTCATCATCTCCACTTGTCTTTGTCCCCCCCCAACATTTCTGATAGATATTTCTCTAATAAAGTCACATTTATAATAAGTATGTATTTCTTGGATTTCTTTATGGATTTTTATGTCATATCTAAGATCTCTGCCAAATGCCAAGTCACAAAAGCATTTATCCCTAATGTTGTATAGTTTTATGTTTGCTGCTTACATATGATATATTTTGACTTAATGGTATAAGGTGTGAAGTTTAGATTAAGGTTTTGTTTCCTGTCTGTGGATACCAGTTGTTGAGAAGACTGTCCTTTCTCACTAGTATTGCAGTGAAAGACCCAGAGGCTTTGAGTGTACAGTTCTGACTCTGGACTCTGATCCCTGATCTGTCTACTCCTTGCTGAATACCTCACTGCCTCAGTGGCTGTTGCTCTAGAAGTGTTAACTATGAAATATGTGAATCTTCCAACATCATTAAGCCACACTTTCAACCTGTTCTTCTAAAATTATTATTATCATTTTAATTATTATTATGCACATGCTGCAGTGCACGTTTGGGGATCCGAAAACAACTCTCAGGAGTCAGTTCTCTCTATCATGTGGGTTCATGGGATCCAATTCCAATCATTAGGCTTGGCTTGTCCAGTGAACATCGCCACTGGCTTTTCTGCCTGACCCCTACCCCCCAACACTGCCCTCATTTATGAGTGGAAGACCAGATAGGGTGGGTTGGAATGTAACTGCTAAAGGACAAGACTTATCTCACACCTGTCAAGGATCAGACCGAGCGGCATTTAATTTGTTTTAGAAGAGACCTCTGCTCATGACCTCTGGGGAGGGAGCTTTGTACCTAAGGCGGGTCTCCCCAGTGACCACTTAGCCCATGCTGTTGCGGAAGGAGATAGGTAAGGTTCTAGAAGGGCTAAGGGGAAGAGGTAGGCTATGCGTAGAGGGGGCGGAGGTGGGGGTGGGATGCAGCGTCGACAGGGGAGGGGACATGTGGCAAGGAGGCAGGGCTGTGAAGAACACCCACCATCACCACCACCACCACCTACCCAACCCACTTCACGGTCTCACCCCCTGGGAGGGTTAAGGAAGTCAGACAAGGTTTTCTCTAGACAATTGCTTTTTTTCTAGCTTCGATTGGGCAGGATCTGCATGTGATCATCTTGAAACCAATTGGGGTGCCCCGCAGTGGAGCGCGCAGATTGGACCAGGCCTCTTCACTGATTCTCACACGGCATGCTAAGTCCCACCCTCTGCACCTTGCATCTTCCTCTTGTGGCTGGGTTGAACTGGGTTGGGTCGTGGGAACCCCTCCTCCACACCTGAAGGGGTTCTGCCATGTTGCTCCGCTGCCCCTCTGTCCTGGCCCTCTTTCAGAACTGAAGTCGTCTGAAGACCTGAGAGCAGCCAGTGTCCAAAGCATGTGGACAGGTGGCACAGACCCAGGGGTCCTTGGCCCTGCTGGTTTCGTAGTGGACAGCAGGCTTTGTCTAGCTGCGGATTAGCAAGGGTAGACAAAATGGTCCTTAATTGCAGGTCATTTTAGGTTTTTTTTTTTTTTTTGAATGCCTTGGTGGTCAGGTAGCTTGTGATTGAAAACAGCTCTGCCTCTCGGAGTGGAGCACAGGTCAGAGCAGATAGCAGATACCTGCCTGACAGCCAGGACTAACTGTCTGCAGATACCAAGGAGACGCTGTAACCACAGACTGGTGGTAAAAGTGCTCATGATATGTCAACATTCAGAAAGTGGAGAGACCTACAGTGTCTGGGGCCAGGCTGGACCTGGTGCCTGTCCTTCAGCGTAGAATAACCACACTCCATGCCACACAAGTACATGCGTGGAGAATGTCCACATGGCTCCTGACTCCCATCCTCTTAATTATTATTATTACCATTTTGGTTTTTAGAGACAGGGTTTCTCCGTGTAGCTTTGTAGACCAGGCTGGCCTTATATTCACACAGATCTGCCTGCCTCTGCCTCCCACGTGCTGGGATCAAGAGTGTCTGCCACCACTGCCCAGCTCTTGATTTCTCATGTATCACTCTTGTGACAGCCACCTTGCCACTCGTGAAATAGCAGTTCCAGATCCCATCACTTCATATCCTTCCTCCAAGCAGAGGTCACCAATTACAGTGTATATTTAACACTTCTCCTGTCACATATGAACATGTACATACACACAACTATAAGAGAAGGGACCTCAATTATCCCAGGCTCTGGAAGATACTATAACATAATCAACCAGGATCTAACCCATCAATCCTCAGTTTGATCAAGTTCTCCATCAGTTAAAACATTCAGGTTGTTGTTTAGATCCAAGAGGAATCCAGAAGGCTGTGAGGTGAGGCACCAGATGACAGGTGCGTACACTAATGGACACTCATATAAGAGCATCCATTCTGGGTGACAGCATTCAGCCAAGCTCCAGAGTCTGGACCCAGCGATTAGGGTCTTAGGTATACCTCCAGGAAAAAGAAGTCGCTGCTGCCTCAGCAGGTAGGATGTTATCTGGACAATTCCATGGTGCCTGGAGATAGGGCCACAGAATGAACAGTGGTAGGGCACATTTAGGTCTCTTCCTCCAGAGATAGTGAGAGGCATGAGAGATACTTCTCCTGTACTTGGAAGAGAGCAAGATCCCTCTAAACCTCCCCCACTTTCTCACTTTCTCTTCACCTTTACCTACCCTACAAGCAAGAATGAGACATGTAGCCTTTCTGCTCAGACTAGCAGGTTTTGCTGGTGGAATTTCCACAATTATTGTCTCCTAGAAGAGAGGTGCCCCAAAAGGGAGATGAACAAATGTGGCCACAGTATCTCAGGTTGGGCTAAGCATGGCGCAAATTGGGATTGCAGACCCACAGCATGATGGACTACTCTCTAGACTAGGGTCTGATAAAATAAAATTACCAGAACAGAGAACTGTGAGCACCCCGTTCCATTCAGCAGAGTTGTCAGTAATCCTAAAATGTGCTGGTGCTACAGGGAATAGGGACAGCACCCTGGGCTGGGCAGGGGAACAGAGTTTTAGAAACCTTTATGGCCCAGGCCCGGGAAGCAGAATAGTCTAGATTTACCAGAACCTGGCAGAACTGTGAAGAAGAAAGGTTGTGTAAACCGGAGGCTCACCCTGGACACTGGGTCCTGAAAGGACAGCTTTGCCCTCTGGAGAATAAATTGGAGCAGTAAATTTGAGTCAGGACCTAGGGGACACCCTGTATTTGTTCCCAGTGTGAGGGAAGCCTCCCTCCCTCCGGGAAAATGGGATTCTTAGAAGGAATAGAAACACTGTGTGAAATCACTGTTTATTGGCTGTGATTCCCTCAGAGAAAACATGTGAGGCCTCTGACATGCAGGAGGTGCAGGCGCAAGGACAGACAGACAGACAGGTAACACATGGGCTGTATTAAGCACGGCGGCCCTGTGTCCCATGCACTAGGAACAGATTCAGGGTTAACTCAAGAGAAGGCCACCTGCTCAGAGCTGGCTTTTCAATTCATGAAAACCAGCCAGAGGTGCAGAGAGTGGTCCAGGTGAGCAAGGTATTGTGGGCCGAGCATGCTTCATCTCTTTGGGCAGAGGGCGTTCTGATTAGTATTGCAGTCTAATTGTTATGGCTTCTCTAAAGAGCTATGTAAGGTCATGAAGGTCAATGCCAAGCCACACACCTGGCCCAAAACTCATGGACACATGATGCAGTTTTAATGTGAACAGGAAGGGTCGGGAAGACCAGGCTGGCCTTTCTGTCAAAATAAAACTTATCAAATACAGACCTCATTTACCTGAGATTCAACATATCATGATGTAAATTAAACAAATATGAAGAACAATGGCTGCTGTCTGGGCAAAGGGGAGTAGCTGGGTAATATTGCCCTTGGGCCACACACAGAGAGGACACCACAGCCCAAGCCCAGAAGCTTGCATTTACTGGCCACTGTCAGCCCTTCAAAGGAGGAATAGTGGAGAGGGTTAGACACCTAATCCTGTGGCCTTCTGTCTGCGCTGCACACAGACCCCCAGGACCCCAGATTTTTAGGAAATGGGGCATTTTGAAGGTAGGTGTCTAGTGGTAAAGCCAGGAGTTCCCTAGGAGACTGCCTGCCCTCCGTGAAGAGAACAGGAGGCCACCAGGGAGAGATGGGTCTCTGGAAAGTGTGCATTACAAAGAATGCTAAGGGACTCAAAGTGTGTCCAAGACCCACCCACGCCCACCCAAACTATTGCTTTTTTTCCCCCTGACTGTGGCATTCTTAAGAAACCAAGCCTTGCAGAGAGAGCAACAGAGAAAGAGACAGCTGGACAAAATATGTAAGGGCCGCCGGTGAGGACTAGGGTGGTAGCGCACAGACAGACAGAGCAAATGGTCCAGCAGGTCCAACAAGTCCAGAAACAGGGGCAATGGGCTTAGGGAAGGGCTGGGGCCCCCAGGCACCCACTGCTCATTCCCCAAGTCCCACCCCACTATGGCTGTGCTCCTGAGTTTAGGCCCTGACTGATGGCCAGCCACGGAGAAATGGCACCCCAGGGGTGGTCAGGGCTGGCCCTTAGGGCCTGACCTTGGGCAGGCTCAGTGGGAATGGTGAACTCAAGATTAGAAGGAGGGGTCCAACCACCCAAAGGCAAGGATGCACAGCACAGAGTGTGAGGGTCACACCCTTGCCTGGTGGGGTCAATGATGGCAGTGCGGGGAGAGGTGGCCAGAGGCTCCCGAGGCGCGAGGGGGACATGGGCAAGATAGATCTAGGACTATGGCTTATTTTTGCGGGGGTGGGGAAGAGGGGGCTGCATCTGCTCCCAATATCCCTTATGGGAGGGAGGGGCTCCGAGGGGTCTGTACAATGGGCAGGGCTCTGGGCGCTGACCCAGTATCATTACTTCTTGAACATGTCCTGCAGTGGCCCAGGCAGGTACTTGATGACAGTGTCCAGGATGCTCTCATCTTCCTCCTCCGGCTCATCACCACAGCCTGGTGGGATAGCCTTCTTGGGTCGAGTCAGACTACCTTCTGAGTTGGCTTCCATGGCTGCCTGGGCCTCAGCCTCACGCTCCTCCTTCTTCTTGATGCCATACTGTGAAGGAAAGGGTAGTCAAGGCAGGGCTTGCATACTCCCCTCTCTAGTCCCCAGCATGGGTACTGATGCAATACCTACATAGGCCAGGTCCTCCCTGTACTGGAGAAGACAACCAGGGACCCTGAAAAGTGGTACTCATAGCCAAGGAAGACTCCACCTGAGTCTCATGCTATTTACCAGGGCTCCTGCTCAGGTTTTGGAAGACCACCCAGAAAATGGAACAATTAAGAGGTGCCTGAAGGACACATGGGATGTAAAAGAGAAAGAGTCTGGGGATGGCTGGAGAGATGGCTCAGCAGCTATGAACACTTGCTGTTCTTTCAGACTTGGACCTGAGTTTGATTCCTAGCACCAGTGCCAGGCAACTTCCTTCCAGCCAGGAAAAGAGCAGCAGGCATAGGCCAGGTGAGGTCTACGGGCAATCTGAGAGTCTGTCTAAGGCTACACTTGGGACAAGTGTGTGACCAGATGTATGTAACTACTGCTTTGGTTACTTGTCCTGAAGGCTAGTCTGTCCACTGAGGTTCACAGTCATTTTGAGGATACAGCCAGTTTGAGCTGTATCATAAGGAAAGTCATTCTGCTCAAGAATGCCATCCAGGCTACATCTCAGAGCCAGACTCCACTGGTGTGGCCTGTTCTAATCTTCTGGACTCCAGTGAGAAATGCCAGTCTAGCCCAGGCCAAGTATTAATATTTGTCAGGTGAGTAGAAGCATCAGTTCAAGGACAGAGCCACAGGAGGTGTCAGTCAGGTGTGTTGGAAGACATCCCCTGGGTAGCTTCCAGAGCCAAGTGAAGACTGGGGACTAGGTTAAGGGATCTGATATATAGAAGGTAACAGAAGACCTAAGGACATTGTTAAGAAAAAGCCTATAGTGGCTATCAGTGGTAAGAGTCAACAACATTAGCTGGTATGGTATGCATACCTTTCATCATCATACAAGCTGAGAGAGTGTAAATGAATACAGAACTGTGGAGGCTAAAACATGCCAGCTGTACACCTGGGCTTGTCTCTTTACCAGAAAGAAGGCTCTGGCTCAACAAACACTGGAAGTAGGCACAAATCATGTAGTACATATGCAAACTTGAAGGTGTGTGGTGTGCAAGTCTGTCTGTGCGCACAAACAGATGGTGGGAACATAAATGGAATGGTGGGCATGCAGATCAAGTACCTGCTTAGATGACTCCCTAATAGGTATGGACACTTCTCCAGGAAACGCCCCACCTCTTGAGACAATCCTGACCATTGGCCAAACAATTATAATTAATATTAAGCCTCTGAGTGTTTATTGGTGAACTGGAGAGCAGGAGAGAAATCTCCATTTATAAATTTCTTCATAATTTCCAGGAAAATGTGTGAAAACAGAAAAGTGGAGAAGGTACCCAGTAGAGTCTTCCTTGAATCCCATTTTTTTTTTCCTTTTGAGACAGGGTTTCTCTGTGTAGCTTTGGAGCCTGTCCTGGCACTCATCCTGTTTTTCTACTGTGAATAGGCATAGTGCTATTTGGCCGCCCAACCCACAGGAGATAGTCTCTAGGGTGACCGAGAGCAGGGAGGCTGCCACCCATCTACCATGTGTGAGTCTTGGAAGCAACTTTCCTGACCCACCGAGACTTCCAATTCAACCAATCCTCATCCTTCTTTCAGAGCCTTCTTTCTGGGCAGGGGCAAAAACTACAGGAGCACAACCAGACCTGACATGAGGAGTAGAGAAGGCCAGCCCTCAGAATGACCCCCATCCATATGTGAACATTTGTAGTCCACAACAGTCCAGTTCTCAAGATTTTGGTCCTTAAGTAAGAAGTAAAAGAGCTGTTAGCCACTGCCGAGAAAGGAAGCTGCTGCAGTCACTACCTGCAATACTCTTGTCAGTTGCCCACCTTGTCTCGTATGCCCTGCCTCATGACCTCACGTTCCGCCTCCATCTTGGCATACTTTGCTTTTCGCTCCTCCTCTGCCTGCCGCAGGGCCTCCTGCCGTTCCTCCTCCTTCTTGGCAGCATCAGGGTCCTTCTCCTCATCACCCCCAAGCATCTTCCCCATGTCCTTGGTGGCCCCTGGGAACAACAGCAGGGGTCAGGCAGTAGCATTCAGAGTTCCCAGTCCCTTCTGGAGCCAGGGGTCCAGTGGTGCCCATCCCTTGAGAGAAGCAGTGTATGTGCACTTCATACCACATATGTGAGTGGCTGTATTGTAGTTGCATTTTCATACACTTGTATGTGCATATTTTTATCTGTGTAGGACCATGTTATTGCTTATGTGTGCTTGGGTGCTCTCATGTGTCTGCTCATCCATGTTCTCCTGAGAGGCAGTTGTATATCCTCCCTGAGGCTGTGTCCAGCACAGGATTGGGCTCTAGAAGGTGGTAGAAGGTAAATCCAGATGTGGAGAACATGGATGATGAGCAACAGGGGACTGATGTCTGGTGGGTAATATTCAGTAAAGTAAGCAATAGTCATGCACCCATGACCCAGGCTGCAGGCACTGCCTGTCTTCAGCACCAAGACCCTAATTGCCCCTATGCTAGGCACCACTTTTCTCATGAGTTCCTGAGTCACAGGCCCTACAAAACCACCCCAAATGCCCTTACATTTAGCTGGTAGGATAGAGACTATAATTATGCACTAAAGCTTGGCACAATGAGAAATCCTCAGCCCGTTGTACCCAGACACCATGACACCCAGGATGAGAACCTGGCAAGCCCCACAAGATTTCAGTGAGGGTGCTGGTTCTCTGGTTTTTGTGTCTCTGGAGTGCTATCCAAACCTATGCGCCGTGACAAGCAAGAGAAAAGCCAGCTGTCTTCTCTCCTCTGCATAATGTCCTCGAGATATTTTGGCTGCCTGAAACTCTACCACAGGTGAGAAGGTGTGAAGAGATTGAAGCCATATTGTTGCCACTGTCAGGGTGGAGGCAGAGAACCAGCTTGAAATAGGCATTTGCTGGCAGAACAGATCTTGAATCTTACTGAAAACTATGAGCTTCTTGGACAGTCTTTGGCTGCATCTGGAAACTTGCAAAGGAGATTCTGGTCAATGACTCAAGGAAAGTTGGGTCAGGAAGTGATCTTCCAACAGCTGTCTCTGGTAGGTGTTGGGGGCAGGCAAGAACAAACCTTGCAATCCTGACTGCTTTCATGTAAAATTTATTCCCTACTATAACAAGCTAATTTACACATAAGTGAGAGAGATCCATAATTATTTCTTCCTCTGAGAGATGCTGGCACTCTAAAACAGAAAGAACAGAGTCTGGTGTGTATATCTATTCCTAGAGCAGTTGTTTTCATCCTGTGTGTCACAACCTCTTTGGGGGGGGTGTCAAATGACCCTTTTACAGGGGTCAATAACACCATCAGAAAATATAGGTATTTATATTACAATTAATAAGAGTAGCAAAATTACAGTTATAAAGTAGCAATGAAAATAATGTTACGGTTGGGGGTCAGCATGACATGAGGAACTGTTATGTATTAAAGGGTCACAGCATTAGGAAGGTTGAGAACCACTGACCTAGAGGCTGGAGTGTGACATTGGGAGCAGTGTGGCTTGTGGCTTGCCTATTTAGGCCTGTCCCACATTTTACCAATCACATAGGCTGCAATTTCCATTTTACAGAGTGTCAACTATGTGCTACTATGGAACTGTGTGCCTGATGGACCTTCCCTGGACCTTCCTATATGCCAGGGATTCGTGCCTGGGCTCTGGGCTCTGAAGAAAGACCTACTTTTGTTATGGGACATCTGAGCCTTCAGACTATGGAGGCAGCTCTGGATGTGACCCCAGGCACACAGTGACATTCACACACTCATACTGACAAATGAATGTGTGCATACACATAAATGGATGAAAAAGATTTTACAGGAAGTTCATTGCACCAAGTGCCCATATGGAGAAAATGGAGGATAGTCACATTAGAGAATTAACAGCACAACTGAAAGCCTTAGAACAAAAAGAAGCAAACTCACCCTGGAGGAGCAGATGCCAGGAAATAATCAATTTGAGGGCTGAAATCAATAAAGTAGGAAGAAGGAAAACAATACGAAAAAATCAATGCAACAAAGAGTTGGTTTTTCGAGAAAATTAACAAGATAGACAAAACTTTATCCAAGCTAACCAAAAAGCAGAGAGAGAGAACATGCAAACTAACAAAATCAGAAACTAAAAGGGGGACATAATAACAACACTGAGGAAATCCAGATAATTTTCAGGTCATACTTTGAAAACCTGTACTCCACAAAATTTGAAAATTCAAAGGAAATGGACAAATTTCTGGATAACTATCACTTACCAAAATTAAATCAAGAACAGATAAGCAACTTAAATAGACCTATAACCCTAATGAAATAGAGACAGTCATCAAAAGCCTCCCAACCAAAAAAAGCCCAGTGCAGAATTCTACCAGAAATTCAAAGAAGAACTAATACCAATACTCCTCAAATTGTTCCACACAATAGAAGCACAAGGTTCATTACCAAACTCTTTTTATGAGGTCACAATTACCTTGGTACCCAAGCCACACAAAGACACAACTAAGAAAGAGAACTATATACCAATATTCCTTACTGGATTCAATACTGGCAAATTGAATTCAAGAACACATCAGAGAAATCATCCACCATAACCAAGTAGGCTGGGTTGCAGGGATGGTTCAACATACAAAAATCTATCAGTGTGATCCACCATATAAACAAACCAAAGAAGAAAAACAACATGATCATCTCACTAGATGCTGAAAAAGCCTCTGACAAAATTCAACACCCTTTCATGATAAAGGTCTTGGAGAGAACAGGGATAACAGGAACATACCTAAACATAATAAAAGCAATATACAGTAAACCAATAGCCAACATCAAAGTGAATGGAGAGAAGCGGTTCCTCTAAAATCAGGAAGAAGACAAGGCTGCCCACTCTCTCCATATCTCTTCAATATTGTACTTGAAGTTCTAGATAATGCAATAAGACAACAAAAGGAGGTCAAGGGGATACAAATTGGAAAGGAAGAAGTCAAACTGTCACATTTGCAGATAATATGACAATTTACATAAATGACCCAGAAAACTCTACCAGGGAACTCCTACAGCTGATAAACACCTTTGGTAAACTAGCAGGATGAAAGATAAACTCAAAAAAATCAGTAGCCCTACTTTATTCAAACAACAAAGGGACTGAGAAAGAAATCAGAGAAACATCACCCTTTACAATAACTACAAACAACATAAAGTATCTTGGGGTAATGCTTACCAAACAAGTGAAAGACACGTTGTGTCTTTAAAGAAAGAAATTAAAGAAGATACCAGAAATTGGAAAGATCTCCCATGCTCTTGGATAGGTAGGATAAACATAGTAAAAATGGCAATCTTGCCAAAAGCAATTTACAGATTCAATTAAAAATCCCAGCACAATTCTTCACTGACATTGAGAGGATACTATAATAATCAACTTTATATGGAAAAAAAAAAAAACAAAAGACCCAGGATAGCCAAAACAACCCTGTACAATAAAGGAACTTCAGGAGGCATCAGCATCCCCAACTTTAAGCTCTATTACAGAGCTATGGTCTTGTCACCCATATATTGATTTTAGACATAGAGCAAAGGATCACCAGCCTATAATTCACACTGCCAGAGAAACTAGGATACAAAGATGAATCTAAGAGATTCATACAAGGTCCCTCCGAGAAGGGGAAAGGACCAATCTCCTGAGCATATTGAGAGTGGGGGACAGTGAGTGGAAAGGGGGCTGGGAGAAAGAGAAGGGGAGGAGAGGAAAGCACGTGGAACTAGGAAGATCAAGTCAGGGGAGGAATAGAAGAGAGAAGAGAAAGAGAAATACCATAAAAGAGGGAGCCATATAGGTTTCAAGAGAAAACTGACCCTAGAGAAATGTCCAGAGACCTATATGACTGACCCCAACTAACAATTTGAGCAACAGTGGAAAGGCCACCATAAATGCCCTTCCCTGATAATGAGATTGATGACTAACTTATTCACCATCATAGAGCCCTCATCTTGTAGCTGATGGAAACAGAAGCAGACACCCACAGCTAAACACTGAGCTGAACTGGAATCCAGATGTAGAGAGGGAGGACAAGACCAGGCTACAGAAACCCACCGAGACAGCTGACCTCAACAAGGAGGAGCTAATGGGCCCCCAGACTGACAGTTGGGAATCCAGCATTGAACCAACTCAGAACCCCTGATCATGGGTCTCAGTTAGAAGGCCTGGGCAGTCTAAGGGACCTCTAACAGTGGAACCAGGATGTATCCCTGGTGCACAAAAGGACTTTGGGAGCACATTCCTCATGGAGGGATACTCCCTTAACCTAGAGGCAGGAGGCAGGGCCTAGTCCCTACTTGACAGATTTAGATGACCCCTCCAGGAAGGCATCACCTTACATGTGGAGTGGGTGGGGTGAATCTGATGGGAGGGTAGTTGGATGGCATGGGAGGGTGGAAGAGAAGGAGGGATGGACTGAGAGGGAACTGGGATAGATATGTAAAATAACAAAAATAAAGTTTTATTTGTAATAGTAAAATAACAAAATAACTATCAGCAGGCAAATGGGTAATTATTAAACCATGGAACATGCAGGTGAGGAATAGAGTAGAAAAAAAGTAGACCATTGGTTGACACATCCAATAACATGGAAGACACTCAGACTCTTTGATGATGGTGAAAAAAAATCAGAAATGAATTAAATGATATATATATATATACATACATACATACATATATATATATATATATATATATATATAAAATAAGTAAATGTAAGTGTAGACTGCTTTGGGATTATCTGGGGGTGGCAACAGCCTTGGACCTATGGAAGTTTGTTGCCCAGTTCCTGTAGGAGTAGTATATGTACTTCCTAAACACCAGACATGTCACAATTCAAATGAGTATACAATCTAAAAAACTAAAACTAGAGGTGGTAGAAACCATGTTTCCTGGTCCTGATCTAATTAAGCTACAAGCTCTAAACAAAAGATCAAACTTGCCAAGTATTGGTGGCTCACGCCTTTAGTCTCAGCACTTGGGAAGCAGAGGCAGGCAGATCT